CTTCGAAAAGCAGTTTATCAACATATTCGAGAATTAAACTTTTATTACCTAATGCTAACTAGAGTGTATACTGTTATTATACCGAAACTATGGCTCGGTTTTACCATTAAATGTCACTAGTATATACAGAGAAATTGCGTTTTATCCAGTGAATGCGAGTTCCACCTCGCATAGGTCTCATAGCGTCCAAGAATAGAGAAGAAAAGGGTGTACAGTTTCAAGGAAAATTACGCCCGAACTAGACCCCATATGGCTTAAAGCTCTTTGGTCATCGCTAAAGCATAAATTACGAGGCAGGAAGAGCTGCTCCCAACTCTCACATCTAAGGCTAGAATAAAAAGAGAAAATGAGCATGTGCCAATCATTGAAATCGACAGGTAATCTGCTATGATAAAGGAACTGCTACTAAATCTGGTAAGTGAATATATGCAAGTGTCCTTGGGATCGGTAGTCAATCATAGCACTGAATTTCATTGAGATCATGCAAGACAGACATACTGTTGTCAACTTAATTTGTGAAAATTCGCTGTTAAAATAGCCTTACGCCAACTAAAAAAATTGGTTAGACATTAAATGATTGAGCAAAGCCACAAAGCCAGAGCATAGTTAAACATAAAAATTGAAAAAAACAATAAAGCTATGAGCACTCATTTTAGTGATACAACCGTAAAAAAATATAGTTTAAACGTTCTGGCTTACGAGCATGAGTATCTCAGAAAGCGAATAGTAATGGGAGGGAGGGTGAGACAAACTAGAGGCTAGATGCATAACATAGATTTAAAAAATAGGATGAGGAAACAAGGAAAGAATGCATTTCGATAAGGTTTATGAACGAAGAATATACATATGTAAATCTAAGGCAGATTGAGGTGACTAAAAAGTATGGGGCACTCACATTAAGAAGATCCTGATTGTTAGTACCAACATCAAGGAGAATGGGCAGGCAGTGCTCCGGATGTACTCCCGCCAAAGCAGTATAAAGAGATAGTTTTCCAACGGGAATACCCATGCCGTAGGCTCCAAGATCTCCGAGTCCGAGAATGCGTTCACCATCGGTTAAAACAATAGCCTTGGGAAAAAGGAGCAAAAAAATGTATACAAGTGTGCACAACGAGATAATACACGGAAAATGGATAGGAAATAACATTATTTCCGTATTGAGAAATTTACCTTGTTATTAACATGACTCTCGAAGATAAAACAGATATTCAATCAACCTACAATTATTCAAGCCCTCATAGCAAGAAACAAATATTTTGGTGCAACTAGTATAACTGTAAACATATGAGAGGCTACAACTCATCATAAATATCATCATTATAACTGCATGATAGAGAAATAAACATTTACAGACAAGGATACATCGATTAAGTTGAAAAATAGCACATTAACTAAACAGTAGTATTATTTACCGTCTTGCGACTGCTGAGTTACCTATTTATTTGGCAGGAAAGTATGCTGACATTAACTAAGTACTACGAGAAAATAGTACGTACGAAAATCGTATTGTCGTGGAAATGCTTAATTTCATGCATAAGAAACAATGACGATTTACGCACGATGAGAGAATTAATAAAAAAGTTAGATGTCAAGGAATAAGAATTCGAGGTGCATATCTTATTCCAGAAGGTAGAATAGCCTGTAA